GGCTCAGCCTGTCATCTCAGCGCTTTGGCAGGCCAAGGCGAGTGGATTGCCTGAGCCCCGGGGTTCGAGACCCACCCGGACAACTTGGCAAGACCTTGTCTCTACAATAAATCAAAAATTAGATGAGCATGGTGGTGTGTGCCTGTAGTTCCAGCTATTTGGAAGGCTGAGGCGAGAGGACCACCTGAGCATGCCACTGTACTCCAGTCTGGGTGATACAGTGAGGCTCCAACTCAAAAAAAAAAAAGTAAAATAAAGAACAACTCCTCACCACCACGTTCTTGTCAACAAGTCCGAGGGAACTGGATACCCTTAGACCACATTCCTGAGAAGGTCATAGTGATCACGGGTTATGAGGTGTGGCATCTTGAACTACAAGTTATTTTTCCAGGTTGTATTTATTTACACTGAATTCAGACTGTCAAATGAGATTACCGATAAAAGGCAAATTGCTACTAAAAAAAAATGTGTTCAGAATGTATCCGGAGTTCTAAAAATTCATTATACATCGTTAACATACAGAAATCTTATTTTAGTGGCATTTCCTTTTAAAAAGAAGCTTAGAATAGAAGCTTGGGTCTGTTTTCGATATTCTATTTATTCTGTCTCAGAAAAGAGCGATTGTAATTTTCTGCTTTCTGGAAAGATTTTTTTTTTTTAAAGGTGTTAAGAAGAAATATATTCTGATGGGCTGAAGTTCCAGGTTTATCCTGGCTGGGTTCTGGGTATTCTAGATAGGTTTGTTCCAGTTAAGTTCTAGATAGATTTATTCTAGGCTCTGTGGGCACAGGCCCCTAAATAATTCACTGTGAGACTCCAGGGAATGCCACGCACCTTAAATTAGATTCCAACCAACAACTGAATTTGATACCCTCAATTTTAAGCACACAGAATGTCATACACAAACCTTTCCAGTCTTTGGAGGATTTCTTCCCTAAGCTGCTCTGTAGGAGTGTGGGACTGTGCATTTTGCAGGATTTTTTTTTTTGGGGGGGGATCCTTAAAGATTTCTGTACATTCTAAAGCATGTTTGCTAACTTCAAAAAAAATTGTCTTTAGGTATTTCATGCTAAGTTGAAAGCCTTCTTTATCAAACATGATGGAATCAGATACAAAGGGGACCCCCCAAAAAACAGAATTTATACAAAATGACGTATTTATTCTTACATGTTTAAATTTCCATCACCTTCAAAGTCCTCTCCGTCTGATGCAGTGATGCAATACACTTATTTGAGATGCTTTGGGCACCGCTCCAAACCATTCTGAGCTCACCAGTTCTGATGCCTTTTAGTGCTTCTGCCGTTCTTTGTGTCGCCTCTTGTCCGCATCTGGCGAATGTCTCCCTTGAGGACGTCTCTCATCCGGGAAACAGCAAAAAATGTTACTGAGGGTGAGATCGGGTGAGTGGGGAGCATGGGGCACGGGGGGGTCATGCCTGTTTTCGGCCCCAGACCAAACACTCGGCGTGGTGTGGGCAGGTGCATGGTCGTGGGGGAAGAGCGAGTCACCTGTGTGTCGCAGCGCAGGACACTCCTTCCGCAACGGTGGCCCGACCTTCTCCAAACTTCCAGATGAAAACTTAGGCTGACAGTTTGATCTGGAGGAACAAATTCCGAGTGCACAAGGGGCCCGCCCTCCAAAAGACAATTCCAGTTTTTTGGGTTCCCCCGTGCATATTATGAAGCCATGGCTAAAAAGTATCTACTCCGTGATTAAATTTTTTTGGATATGAACAATTGTTTTCTTGATGCACAGCCCTAATTCTACTTTTCTACACAACTGGATAATAACTTTTTTTTTTTTTTTTTTGAGTTGGAGTCTCACTCTGTGGCCCAGACTGGAGTGCAGTGGCCGCGCCGGCCACCGCAGCCTCGCCTGCTGGGCTCCGGCGATCCTTCCGTCTCAGCCTTCGAGTAGCTGGAATTACAGGCATGCGCTACCACGCCCGGCTGATTTTTTTTGATTTATTGTAGAGATGAGGTCTTGCGGCCCAGGTGGGTCTCGAACCCGCAGGCTCAGGCAATCCACTCACCTCAGCCTCCCAAAGGCGCGGGATTACTGGCTGAGCCACGGAGCCCGGCAATAATTTTTAAAGAATATTCAGTATATCTTATACTGGTTTTCTGATAACTTTGCTCAACGTGACTATTTTAAAATTCGTCTTAATAGGCCGGGCTCAGTGGCTCAAGTCTGTCATCTCAGCACTTTGGGAGGCCGAGGCGGGTGGATTGCCTCAACCCAGGCAGGTTCGAGACCAGCCTGGGCAACTTGGCAAGACCTCATCTCTACAATTAAAAAAAAATCACCTTAATAGAGGATTCGGAAAAGCCCAGCTTTTATTTGGGCTGACAATAATCCACACAGCTGATATCATGGCTACCACTGACTGTGTGACTACTACGTAAAAGACATTGTTCTTACGTTCTCCCATCTACCAATTTTAATCCTTATGTAAGACTTGCAAGGTGGGTGTGATGACTCTCGTTTCAGTGGTGAGGGAACAGAAGATAAAAGCGCCTTGCCCGTTTTACCCAACACTCCGACATGGATGCATATGATTATTTCAGGGCCACTTGAGAGAGTAGCTGGGATGGAAACTCCATCCTGGAGTCTGTTGTAGAAAGAAATGCATGAGTATCAAGATACACCAAGACAAAACCCCACGACCCAGGCGTACAGAGAATGCCACGCCTGTGCTGCATAAGGCTTATGACTGCTTGTGAATGTGCAACAGTGATGACGTGTACCTGCCATTAAACTTCAAATAGCCTTAGATCATTGCTAACTCAGGGTGTGATCCTGCACTGCCCAACAAGGTAGCCACTAGCCAAGCTCTCAAGCACGTGACATGTGGCTAGTGTGACTGAATTCTAAGTTGTATTTAATTTTAATTAATTTAATCACTGATACTTGAGCCAGTTACTGGATTTTTTAAGCATGTTGGAACAACTGGGTATGTGATTTTTTTTTTCAACTGTGCATTTTAGAAAACTTAAATACAGATCAGATACTTGATGAAAATTTAGCCTCTGAATTGAGGTATGTTGGAATGTAAAAAACACACTCGATTTTGAAGACAGTATAAAACAATATAAAATATCTCACTGGCTGGGCATGGTGGCTCATGACTGTAATCCCAGCACTCTGGGAGGCTAAGGTGGGAAGGTTGTTTGAGTCCAGGAGTTCGAGACCAGTCTAGGCAACACAGTGAGACTTGTCTCTAAAAAGAAAAAAAAAAATCAAAAAATTAGGTGGGTGTGGTGGCATGTGCCTGTAGTCCCAGCTACTTGGGAGGCTGAAGTGGAAGGATCACCTGGACCCAGGAGGCTTAGGCTGTAATGAGCTATGACCATGCCACTGCACTCCAGCCTGGGTGACAGAGTTAGACGCCAACTCAAATTAAAAAAATAAGTAAAATATCTCTAATGATTTAAAAAATACTGATTACATGCTGAAATGCTATTTGGATACACTTAGTGAATAAAAAATGTTAAAATTCATTTCAACTGTTCCTTTTTAAACTTTTTGCCTTTTAAAAAGAGTATACTGGGAAATTTTAAATTACATTTGTGGTTTGCATTGCATTTGCACGGTGTTGGTACAATCTAAGGAGCCCCGTTGAAGAGAGTCTGGTCTAAGTATCATTCGTGTCTTTTATTTTTGGCATTGAAGCACTTTCCTATTATACCTCATTGTCCTTTTATTAAAAGCTATGAATTTTTTATCATTCTCTCTACTCATGTTTCAGAGTTGTTAAGGTCTGCACCTGAACAAAATAGTCTCTGGACCTAAGAAGGTCACTACTTCTCATTGGCTATCACCCTCCTAACAAATTCTTGCTGTGAGTGCCAAGAATGCAAGACTGACTGATCTTGACCTGGGCCATTTCTCGGGATCGAGTTTGCATCTGTGAGGGATGAGGCAAAGATTCCTGCCAGGACAAAGAGCAGGTTTGCTTCTGGTCATGAAAAAAAGCAGTGAATCCTCCAAGCTCAGTTTTCCTCAGCTACTACAAAAATCAACCACATGTGCATGGCCACATGATATATGGCCACTGTGTGACTTGGACAAGGGGAACCGATGATAGCATGCTGACATTCATGCTCTTTGCTGTGCCATTAATAACAGTTCTTTGTTTCTGTCCTAGGAGACTCTTGTTTCCCACCAGCATCTGTGAAACAGTGATAGGCTAAATTACTAGCTTGTAAGTAAGGCAGCATCCAATCTCAGATCCTCATGAGTTGTGGAAAATTATGATGTTTGATGCAATCTAAGAATTCCTTTTCACACGTAAAAAGTTTTGCCTTAGAATTTAAAAAAAATTGAGTTAATTTGTTGAAAGGTTTTTTTTTTTCAGTCAGAGTCTCATTCTATCAGCCAGCCTGGAGTGCAGTGGCATGCTCACAGCTATTGCAACCTCGAACTGCTGGGCTCAGGTGATCGATCCTTCCACCTCAGTCTTCCAAGTAGCTGGAACTATAGGTGTGTGCCACCATGCCCGGCTAATTTTTTTGATTTATTGTACAGACGAGGTCTCACCAAGTTGACTTGCCTGGTCTCAAACTCCTGGGCTCAGGCAGTCCTCTTGCCTCTGCCAGCCAAAGTGCTGGGATTATAGGCATGAGCCACCACGTGGTGCCTGGCCTGTTGAAGTTTTTTTTTCAATACAGCTGAGACAGTGTTAGCTTAAAAGTCTTTAAGGGTTATGAAATGAAAGGGTATTTCTCCCTACAGTGGAAATGCTACACATGCACTTGCGTGAATTGTCAGTATACAAGTATGCACAGAATACATTTATTTCCCAAGAGCTATTTCTCAGAGTAAATTTTTGTAAACAGAAACAGAAAGTGCACATAAATATTCTGGGGGACTATATTCAAGGATTTATAGAGTTTGGAGAGAAACCTCATCTACTATACAATACGCATATGCAGGACAGAGGCAGACATTATAGAAAGTACAAAAATAGATTAAAAAAATACAAATACAATATATTTTGGTTGCAACTTCAAATGTGTTTGTTTTTCTTCTCTTTCCCCTTTACCTCAAAAGTTATAAATACTTTTGAAGCAGCGTGTATTGTTGCGCTTTTGATTTTTTGCTGTACAGTGAGCGAATGTGAGGGTCCGGATGATGGGTGATCATCTACTTGGCCTTCCCATTCCTTCGTTTCTTCTTCTTTGATTAGCAAGGGTTTTCCCAGGGTTTGGCCCACAAGGTTACAGACTTCTTGAGCTTTGCGTCTTGCATTCTCAACAGCAACGAGACAGGCCTGCCGTCTGGGGGATTAAATGCAGAAAGTATCAGAATGGCATTCCACGGACTGTAGCACTGAATGGGTTTTAAAAAATAATAACTTGTTAAAGATACGCTTAACCTCACCGAAGAGTCTCAGCAGAACCTGGAGTATGATAGAACTGGGGCGGGCTGATGACAACAGAGCTGTCTAACTTTTCCACAAGAAAGTTACAAACATTTTGCATTTTTCCAAACTCGGTAAAAGTGATGCAGACCTGCAAATGAAATGACACTTGATATTATTTTCATGTCTTATGTGTTGCTTCAAATTTTTCTCTAATGTGACCAAAAAGGGGGGGGAGGGAGCCAGATTAAAAGATCATTTTACAGTAAGTGACAGATTTTTAAAAGTCTGTTTGTTCTAGTCAACATAGTGCTGCACGCCCTAGCCAGAGTAATCGGGCAAGAGAAAGAAAGAAAGGGTATCCACAGATACCCAGAAAATCCTAAAGAAATCCTAAAGACTCCTTTCTTTCTTTTTTTATTATTATTTTTGAGTTGGAGTCTCACTCTGTCGCCCAGACTGGAGTGCAGTGGCATGCTCCCGGCCACCGCAGCCTCAACCTGCTGGGCTCCGGCAATCCTTCCACCTCAGCCTTCCCAGTAGCTGGAACCACAGGTGCGCACCACAATGCCCAGCTAATTTTTGATTTATTGTAGAGATGAGATCTCACCAAGTCGCCTGGGCGGGTCTCGAACCTGCAGGCTCAGGCAATCCACTCACCTCGGCCTCCCAATGTGCTGGGATTACAGGCTGAGCCACTGAGTCCAGCCAAGATTCCTTTCTTATAACCAGAAAATCCTAAAGTCTACTCCCAAAGACTCCTGCACTTGGTCAATGAATCCAGTAAAGTTTCAGGATACAAAATCAACACACATAAGTCAGTAGGACCAAGCTGAGGATCAAATCAAGCACTCAATTCCATTTACAATGGCAGCTAGAAAGCTGAAATACCTAGGAATCTGTTTAACCAAGGAGGTGCCAGATCTCTACAAGAAGAATTACAAAACACTCATGAAAGAAATTATGGAGGACACAAACAAATGGAAAAATATCCCATGCTCATGGATTGGAAGAATCGACATTGTTAAAATGACCATATTACCCAAAGGAATCTATGGATTCAAAGCAATCCCTATCAAACTACCAATGTCATTTTTCACAAAATTAGAAAAAAAATGCTAAGATTCATATGGAACCAAAAAAGAGCCAAAATAGCCAAAGCAACCCTAAGCAAAAAGAACAAAGCTTGGGGCATCCTATCACCTGACTTCAAACTATATTATAAGGCTACAGTAATCAAGACAGCATGGTACTGGTATAGGAGCAGATACATGGGCCACTGGAACAGAATAGAGAATCCAGAAATAAACCGAAATACCTATAACAAACTGAACTTTGACAAAGAAGACAAAAACATAAAACTGGGGAAAGGACCATTCAAAAGTGGTGCAAGGAAAATTGGATAGCTATATGCAGAAAAATAAAGCTTCAGTCCTATCTCTCCCCATATATAAAAATTAACTCAAGATGGATTAAAGACTCAAATGTCAGACCTGAAGCCATAAAAATTCTGGAAGAAAACCTAAGAAACACTCTGCTGAACATTTGCCTAGGTGTAAAGAATTTATGGCTAAAACCCCAAAAGCAAAAGTAACAAAAACAAAAATAAACAAGTGGGATGTAAAAGCTTCTAACACAGCAATAATAATAATAATAACAATCAACAGAGTAAAGAGGTGATTTACAGAATGGGGAAAGATATTTGCAAACTATATATATCTGACAAAGGACTAATATCCAGAATCTACAAATAATTCAAATCATCAAGAAAAGAGTAAACAAACCCATTAAAAAATGGGCAAACAGTATGAACAGACATCTCTCAAAGACATACAAATGGCCAACAAACATATGAAAAAATGCCCGACATCACTAATCATCAGGGAAATGCAAATTAAAACCACAATGAGAATCTTAAGCCCATCAGAATAGCCATTACTAAAAATAATAATTAAAAAAAATCTCCAGGTGCAGATGTGGTGAGAGCGCAAATTAGTACAACCTCTATGGGGATTTCTCAGAGAACTAAAAGTAGAGCTATCATTCAATCCAGCAACCCCACTACTAGGTATCGACCCAAAGGAACAGAGATCGTGATACAAAAAAGACACCTGCGCTCGGAGGTTTATTGCAGCACAACTCACAACTGCGAAGGTGTGAAATCAACCTAAATGCTCATCAACTGACCGGTAGATAAGGAAAATGTGGAGACACACACACACACACCCGGTAGATAAGGAAAATGTGGAGACACACACACACACACACACACACACACACACACACACACACACACACACACACACACACACACACACACACACACACACACACACACACACACACTGGAAGACTATCCAGCCATAAGAGAGAATGAAAGAATGCCTTCTGCAGCAACTTGGAAGGAATCGGAGCTCATCCGAAGTGACTGCATGCGGGAATGGAAAGCCAAACGCCGCATGTCGTAACGCAGGAGCGGGAAGTAAACCCAGGATCCGCAAGGGCACAGGGACTACTGCGACGGACACTGGAGGCCCTGGGGGAGGAGGATGGGAAGGGTTGAAGGGATGAAAAATCACCGGCCAGGCTCGATGTACATGGGTGGGGGTGCTAGGCACAGCGAAAGCCCCGAGTTCCTGGCCACTGCACAATGCATCCCAGGTAACGAAAGCTGTTTGTACACCATCAAGCTACTGGAGTCACAAGAAAAAAGCTAAAGTCAACTGTCAGGTCAAATCCCCCAGACAGACAGATAAATAAATAAGGTTCTCATTGATGTGCTAGGTTTAATAAACACTCCAAATGAGATAAAGTAAAATAAAATGCCTATCCAAATAACTAAATTATTTAATTAAACCTACGATTTTTGCTGGCCATGGCTTTGCTACACTCTGGTGTGTCCATGCAGCTCTTTGGGCTGTGGCTGCCATGTTTCCCGGCCTCGGCCCCCTCCCCTACCTTGGGGAGGTGAATCTCCTCTCTCTCCTTTCTAATTTGCTTTCTAAATCAACTATGTTTTGCAATCTAAAAAAAAAAAAAAGATTTTTGCTTATGAATTTTGAAATCTAATATTAACTTGTATATTTGTTATTATTATTTTTTATCTCAAAGATGTGGGATACATAATTCAGGGTTAGGCATACAAACATCGATTGTGCAGGCACCCTGACTTGTATATCTTAGACTTCATTTTAAACCAGGCTTTTCATAAAATTGGAGGATTTCCCTTTTATCATTTAGCTAAATTCTAAAACCCTGATAACTTTCTCATGACTCCGTCGTCTCACCTATGCTTACTCATCAGCAGTTATCTTCAAACTTCCCTGTTGTCACTGTAATATGTCATTCTCAGGTCTATATGCAGAAGCTAATCTAGTGCACTGTGTCATCTGTCTCTAAATCCGTGGAAGCAGAGTGCTTGTATGCAGCAATACTTTAAAACCAGAGTCTCTGGACTTTCTGCAAAAGAGGACTAAACCCTTTGTTCTAAGGTGCCATGACACAAGCTCAACATGCAGAAAAGAAAGTACAGGTACCTGAGAGTAAGCTGAGGCAGCAGAGACAAAGAGAGGGAGCCCACCTCACCTTACACAATGCAGAAGAGCAGCCTTTGATTGTAAACACCGTCCACTGAAGACTGATTGTTCTATCAGGCGTCAATGCCAAGTATCCGTCAGAGCAACAGGGAAGAGGTTCAGGATTACCCTGATCACCCTAAATGGTAAAATACTGGGGCACTCTCTTGGGGCATGCAATCTTCTCTTTGGTGACCCGGTCCCTACTTTCTATTGCTCCGTTAGCCTTCTTTCAAAAAACACATTTCTTTCCTTTTCTTTTTTTCTTTTGGAGCGGGTCTCATTCTGGAGTGTAAGGGCACAATCACAGCTCACCACGCCTGGGCTCAAGCGATTCGCCTGCCTCAACTTCCTGAGTAGCTAGGACTACTGGCATGTGCCACCACTCCCAGTAAAGTTTTTTATTTTCTGTAGAGACGAGGTCTTGCTTTGTTGCCCAGGCTGGTCTTAAAGCAATCCTCCTGCTTTGGCCTCCCAAAGTGCTGGGAGTACAGGTGTAAGCCACCGCACCAGGCTCACAAATTTCTTGAAGAACAGTCCAGTCTACTTCCATTTCATTACCATGACTTCTTTTCTCAATCTCTTCTCTGCTTTTATATTTACTCTTCCAAGAAAGTTTATGAAGTTACCGACGACTCCTTATCCTCTAGCTTGCCTCCTAACATCTGCTCATTCACGCTGCCGACACCGCATTCCACCTGTTCCCCATCTTCCAAATTCCTAGTACCTTTGGCTTGACAGTTTCCATGGTATTCTTTTCACCAACCTTTTGTTTTAACAGTGTCCACTTCATTCTCCTGTCCTTCATCCCTGGGCATGCAATGTCTGAATTTATATGATCACAGTTTATTCTTGTAGCTTTTTATAGTTCTTAATATGAAAAACTTTAAATAGCCATAAAAGTAGAGTTAACAGTATGAAGAACTCCAGATATCCACGACCTGGCTTTAAAAATTATCACCACATGGCAATAATTGTTATTATTATTTTTTACTTTACATACACTATACATATTGGTGAAGAGTTCAATAATTAAATTTTTTTAGAGACGAGGTCTTGCTGTGTTGCCCAGGCTAGCCTCAAACTCCTAGGTGCCAGTGATCCTCCCACCTCAGCCTCCTGAATAGCAAGTGTGCTACCACGTCTAGCAAATTCTATAAATGTTGACAAATATACAGAACTCTGTAACCACCACAACAAATACTTAGACCTGTTCCATCAGCCCTCAAAATTCCCTTGTTACCTCTTTATTACCAGTTACTTCCCCAACTCCTAAGCTCTGGCAACTACCAACCTGTTCTCCATTGCTGTAGATTTGCCATTTTCAGAATGTCATCTAAATGGCATACAGTATGAAGCCTTTTGAGACTTACTTATTTCACTTAGCACAATCCATCTGCAATTCACCCAGGTTGCTGCATAATAGTCTGTTCCTTTTATGTTGAATAGTATTCCATTACATGGATGCAACCACATTTTTGAAAAACATTTACGTTGCTTCTAGTTTTGAGCTGTTATAAATAAAGATGCTTTTTCAAAGTAGTTCTAGACCCACTGCATTTCCAAATGTATTTTA